TCTCTCTCTCTCTCTCTCTCTCTCTCTCTCTCTCTCTCTCTCTCTCTCTCTCTCTCTCTCTCTCTGCAGGAGGACGTCGCGCCGCGGTGGCGTGCTTTCTTCTCCTTCCGTAGCACCTTGACGGCGGGATCGGCAGCCTCGTTCATCCCCGAAGGTCGCGGTAAGGAGTAGATTTTAATCCACATACGTTGACCGTGACTGTTGATGTCTTTCCAAGTTTTTCGGAAGGATCCGGTTACAATTGTACGGAGGTATCGGTATCGGTTCGTTGACAATCAATTGTGGTCGTTATTGTTGTTGAGGAGGACGACGATGATGAAACCGCATTGACCGCGGCTGCGAAGGTCTTGTCGAAGTACCCGGTTACCAATGAGTCGGTCGTGTGGAAATTGTGGTTTATTTTCGAGAATTTATGTTAACAACAGCAGTGGTCTAGTTTTATTTAAAATAAGAATTAGACTGGTTTGATAAAACGCCCGATGTATCCGTGATTTGATTTTTGTAGCGTAGTCGGTTGTACACACTTGTCGTGTCTGGGTTAGTATCGAAGTTGGTTTGACGTGGATGGTCTTTTGGTCGGCGAGGAAGGGAGGCAAGAAAGAACAGGAAAAGGCGCAAGGGCCGAGCGAGTCTAGCATGGCGTGGCGTGCACCATCAGCAGCACTTCGTGTCAAAGCGTGTTAAGGGGGTGCAGAAGACGAATTTTGATGTCGACTAATTTTCAAATCAACCGCAAGAGCACCAGAAAGTGCACAACAGACACACCAGACCAGCACGACGGCAGCGCGAATAACATAAATCGTTGATTTTCGCACAGGGCGGCAGTGGAGGCTGCTCGAAACATACATTTCACGCCTCCACCTCCACACGCTTCCTATAAAATCAAGTTAAAAATTCACACTTCCCTAGATTTTAGTCAAAAGAGCCAAAACGGAGGCGCTCAAACAAGGTCAGTTTTGAGTGTTAGGTGTCGCATTCTATTGTCATCAGCAGAGGACATCATGAAGATGCGTCGTGCGTGCTGGCACGTTCAGGTTTGCTACTGTACTGGAGCTGAAGTATCGAAAGTCGCAGTAGCCTTTGCAAATAGTCCGAAATCTGCGCCGGAACCAAAAGGCATCCAGCATTTGTCACAGCCGTGCTCGCCGCCACTGACTCCAATCCACTGAACTGCGGGTCTACAGCAGTAGCTAATGCCACTAGCTACCGCTGACAGTGAGCACGGCTGTGACAAATATTGGATGCCTTTTGGTTCCGGCGTAGAATTCGGACAGTTTACAGAGGCAGCTGCGACCTTCGCTATTTCAGCTCCAGCAGCAAACCTGAACGTGCCAGCACGCATGATGCCTCTTCATGGTCTCCTCTACTGACGACAATAGAATGCCTAACCTAACCCTGGCGGGAAGGTTGTTTTCTTTCCTTGTGTAGGATTTAAGTAGGGGAAAAAGGCCAGCGTCACAGCCCCTTTTCTGCACCCCCTTAACCTGTACGTACGGTCGGCATCGACACGACAGGATGAAGTTCTACATGTGTATTCGAAAAGTATCCGTGTTCGTGTCACGGTTGTCTCTTTTTCCCAACACATTTGGTTTTTTGAGTGAAGTGTTGCTGTGGCTGCCAGGTGATATGGCGGTGATCTCCCAGCATCGGCTTCATTCTGCCGTTTAGAGATATGTAGACGTCGTGGCTTTGGTTTCCCACGTACATGCAAATGAGTCGAGCGCCCCCCCCGCCCTTTCAACGGCACAGTCAGAGGCCAGCTGTCACTGCTTGATCGGCATGTTTGTCCGCTGATGCCTTCGTCTGGGTGGTTTTGTGTGTGCTTGCGTCTGGCTCCTATTGTAGTCCGGTTCGTTCTCACAATTCCGCAGACCTCCAGCTTCTTGTCAACAAGCGTGTGCCATCATACACATGCGATTGCGCTTTTTTTTTATGCGCTCACTTTTTAGCATACTCCCCAGCTTCCTCTGATCGAGCGCGTGTCATCACCTTCGCTTCTGCTTTTTTCGTTCGTGTGTTTATCAATCAGGCTACGCCTCATCGGGGGATGCTTCGTCCGTGTCCCCGTCCCAATCTGCCTCGGGGAGCTCCATGGGAACTCCTGCTTCGAGGGGAACAGAGTGAGGAAGAAGAACCTAGTCAACATACGTGCGGCGTTACATATTGCTGCGGGCGACGAGGTCCATAACGTACGGACGGGGGTGTGTCTAATCTCGCGCAAACGAGTAGTCTACTCGTTGTGCTTTTTCGCTTCGTATTATCCCGAACAGAACAGATAAAAATTTACCCGAAGAGGTATTTTTGCCCCGAACAAGCGTGCTAACCCGACATGTATTACCCCGAACAGTTATTGCGGCTGATTGTCATGGAATGGGGAGTGCGCCGAAAATTACAGAACCATGCGAAGTTGGTACATTTCTTCTACGCGAGAACTACAGGCACGCTATCCCTGCTGTGTACCGAGTACGTACTAACCCGACCAAACCCGAACATGTATTAGCAACCCGTATGATAAAACAATATTATCCCGATGGGTATTATACCGAACAGCAGTAACTACAACCTGAACATGTTGTCAGCACCCTTCCGATCCGCGCTATGCACACACATTGTATGCATACCAAGGTGTCGTTCGCACGATTCTTCCTCTGTCCTTTCGTTCTTGCCCCCCGCTGCGTCTTGTGGACTAAACCACTAGACCGAACAGGCTGTCGGCATCCTTCGTCCCTCGCCAAAAAACCCTTGTTTTATTCACACAATTTGTTTTTTCTTCTCCTCTCGTGTTCTTACCCATTCGCATCTGCTTTTGTGGACCTTTAACATGTTTTTTTTTTTTTTTTTTTTTGGGGGGGGGGCGCAGAAGTACAACATGATAGCTTGTACTGGGCCGTAGATAGCGTGCCGTCCGCACGATAATTTATTTGCATCGTAGATCGCCGCACGCAATTGCGAGCTGCCGTGGTTTTTGGCTTTCGGCAAGAGAAGCGGCAGCAACACCACAGTAGGGGTGCACATACAATCATACAATACATAGCCGCACTCGATATACCTACCTTCAAGGAGAGAGAGAGAGAGAGAGAGAGAGAGAGAGAGAGAGAGAGAGAGNCTCAGAAGCAGCACAGCGGATGTGCAATGAATGCGGTGCGTACGCTACCAAACTTGCTGTGTAGACGACGGTAAGAGTAGAGTATAGAGCATGGATGTTCCCGGTGGTCGATCGAACGGACAAGGCACTGACTTCTTTTCACCGCTGCAAGCAACGACACACGAACGGCAACTGCATCCGAACCTCTCCCGTCTCCTTCATACTGCTGGACTTTGTTTTGTTGCTCTCTCTCAAAAACCAAACAGGTTCGTCTCTACACTGTATCCACAGAGTCCAGAACAAGTTACAGCAACTTATTCATCACAGTATTAATCCTTTGTTCTATGGGACTTTTTTTGTCGTCTCTTACAGTATTGTGACGTTTTTCTCTTGTTTTTTCTCTTGTTGGCAAGGAGTTACTGCTTTTTTTATTTGTTCATCACAGTATTAATCCTTTGTTCTATGGGACTTGTTTTGTCGTCTCTTCCAGTATTGTGACGTTTTTCTCTTGTCGTTTTTTCTCTTGTTGGCAAGGAGTTACTGCTTTTTTCATTTCGTATATTATTTTTTCGCTTGGCAGGAGGAAGGCCGGTGGCAGCGGCGTGTCCTCTACCTCCTCGGGCAGCGGCGGCGGAATAGTCAAGCGGCGAGGGAGGGTGGGCGGTAGGGTGAGCATGACGAGCGCGCGGAGCAGGAGGAGCGTGGCCAGCGACCTCATGCCGGTTGCAGAGGAGGACGGGATGCAGCAGGTAGGTGCGGCCACCGCAACTTTAACATTTTGTGCGCGTGCTTCGCTTGCTCTTGTGGTGCTGCTGCTGATCGATTAGATCACAACCCCACCCCTCCCCCCCCCCCCCCCCCC